ATTTTCTCCCTGTCTGTGTCTACAAAAACCTTTTGATAGGAATTGCACTAAACCTATAGATCAATTCGGGGATGATTCACGTCTTTAACTATGTAGTGTCTCCATTTACTTAGGTCCTCTTTGATTTCTTTGGAACACTGGTCAGCGGTTCAAACCCACCAGCCGCTCCACAGGAGAAAGATGTGACAGTCTGCTCCTGTGAAGATTTACAGCCTTGGAAACCCCACAGGGCAGTTCTCTTCTGTCCCATAGAGTCACTGTGAGTCAGGTTTTGGGTTGATTTCTTTCACTGGTGTTGTATAATTGTTAGCATGCTGTCCTGTACACAATTTGTTACGCTTATATGTAAGTACTTCCTTTTCTTTAGTGTGATTGTAAATGGGATTGTGCTTTTTATTTAGGTTGCCACACGTTCATTGTTAGTATATGGAAATACAATTGGCTGGTGTTTGTTGATCTTGTATCCTGCAACCTTGCTGAACTCACCTACTCCACATAGCATCCTGGGGAATGGGGAGGGGCCCCATGCAGGGAGGGGGGAGGAGGAACAAGATCGGAAGCCTAGCCTCGCGTCCATTTAGTTAGCCCATCTGATCCCAGGTGACCTCGGGAAGGGGACTGTTGGTGGAACTGTGGGGTGGAGCTGTCTGAAGTCAGACTGCACTGGCCAGGGGAGGATGGTCAAGCCTGGCTCTGCCTCCAGCTCATAAGCTGTCCACCAATACAGATTCATGGCCCCATCCGGTGCCCCAGAAACGATGCCTCTGGGATAGGCGCACGGAACCTGGCTGATGCCACTGTGGCTGCACTGTAGCCCTGAGAAGATCCCAGGAGAAGGAAAAGGACAGGATGTGGGCACAGGAGGAGGGATACACCGCGACTGGAAGGTGGGTGGGAGTTCAGGAGGATCAGGCGGGGGCACGTGCAGTGGCAGGCCAGGCGGGTTCATGTCGAGATGGCAGGAGGGGAACGATCAGAGGGCTGAAGAGAGGGGGAACGGTCAAGTAGGGCAGGTGAGCAAGGGGTTGGCCATGTAGGAACATAGCAGGATGGCCAGGCCCTGTGGAGTGACCCTGACAGGCCAGTTGTGCAAGTGTGCAGAGGTCAGGCAGGTGTGCAGGGGCCATGCAAGTGTGCAGAGGTGAGACAGGTGTGCAGAGGATAGGCAGATGAGCAGAGGCCGGGCAGGTGTGCAGAGGCCAGGCAGATGGGCAGAGGCCGGGCACGTGTGCAGAGGCCAGGCAGGTATGCAGAGGCCAGGCAGGTGTGCAGAGGCCAGACAAGTGTGCAGAGGCCATGCAAGTGTGCAGAGGTGAGACAGGTGTGCAGAGGATAGGCAGATGAGCAGAGGCTGGGCAGGTGTGCAGAGGCCAGGCAGACGGGCAGAGGCTGGGCGGATGTGCAGAGGCCAGGCACGTATGCAGAAGCCGGGCAGGTGTGCAGTGGCCAGGCAGGTATGCAGTGGCCAGGCAGGTGTGCAGAGGCCAGGCAGATGGGCAGAGGCCAGGCAGGTGTGCAGATGCCAGACAGGTGTGCAGAGGCCGTATAAGTGGGCAGAGGCTGGGCAGCAGTTCCCTTGGTTGTAATCTGCCAGATCCCAGCCCCAGGGTGAGCTTTGGGCAAGTTACTCAGCCTCAGTTTCCTCGTCTGTAAAATGGGGATAATGATCAGCCTCTCTCCAGAGTGGCTGTGAGGGCTGACTGGGTTGGCTACACAGGAAGGGCCAGGGACTGGCCTGGCTCACGAGCTTATACTGTGATCCCTGGGGGTGTCCACCCCGGGGCAGTGACCTTTGCCTACTGGGCCCCAACCCGGCACATTGCTGCCCGGCCTCTGCACACTCGTATGGCCTCTGCACACCCGTCTGGCCTCTGTACACCTGCCTGGCCTCTGCCTACTCATATGGCCTCTGCACACCTGTCCGGCTTCTGCACACCTGCCTGGCCTCTGCCCACTCATATGGCCTCTGCACACGTGCCTGGCCTCTGCACACCCGCCTGGCCTCTGCACACCCGCCTGGCCTCTGCACACCCGCCTGGCCTCTGCACACCAACTTGATGCATGTCTGTTGACTGAATGGGAGTCCAGTGGCCAAGGCAGTGAGCAGACTGGCTTGAGGAACAGACCCTCTGGGAGGATGGGAGCTGACTGAGGGAGAGGGAAACCGATCCCATGAGGAGGGAGAGGAGGTGACATGGCCAGTGGGCATCAGAACTGATGATGCTGGAGGTGGGTGAGCTTCAGGGTGAGCTTCATGCCCTCCAGCCTGCTGCGTTCTGGTCTGTTTGCTGAATCTCCCTTGTCATTTCTCCTCATTCTAGCTCCAAGGCCATCAAATAGTAGCCTAAGGGCCTTGTCTGTGTGGTTCAGGGCCCCCAGCCTAGCCCCTGGCACACAGTAGGCAGGTGCTCAGCAGAAATTTGCAGATGAAGGAGGTAGCCCCTGGAGTCACTGAGCTGAGCTCAGAGATGCTGCCCCTGGTCCTGAGGCTGGTGATAAGCATAATCCAATCCAAGCCAAGTTCCCTCCAGGGGATGTGGAAGCTCGGGGCTAAAGTCAAGGCAGGCAGTGGAAGCCCCAGGCCATGCAGGCAGTGAAGGCGTTTGGGAGCAGGCCTAGGCCCTCCTGCATGAGATGGGATATGCCTGTGAATGGGGTGGGGTGGGGGCAAGGGGAGGACTGCAGGGTCCACTGAGATCTCAGTGAATCTCGACAGGGGCCCCTCCAGAAACAGAGAGCCCTGTTTTCTCTTTGTTACTGGACCAAAAACCCAAAACCAAAAAAAAAAAAACCAAACCTGGTGGCACAGTGGTTAAGAGCTCGGCTGCTAACCAAAAGGTCAGCAGCGCCAATCCACCAGCCACTCCCTGGAAACCCTACAGAGCAGTTCTACTCCGTCCTCCAGGGTCGCTATCAGTTGGAACCAACTTGCTGGCAACCGTTTTTTTTTTTTGTTTTGTTTTACTGCCATCAAGTCAATTCTGACTCACGGCAACCCCAGGTGTTACGGGGCAGAACTGCTCCATAGGGTTTTCTTAGCTGTAGTCTTTATGGAAGCAGCTGGCCAGGCCTTTCCTCCAGGACACCACTGGGTGGGTTTGAACCAGCAACCTTTAGGTTAGTAGTCAAGTATAAACCATTTGCACCGCCAGGGACCTCTTTGTTACTTGACAGGCCTCCACAAAACAGTCCCAAAGTGGCAGCTCCATCAGAGGCCCCATTACCACTCTGTCCACCCTCCCAAGTAAAAACCCATGGTAAAGCCTGGAACCTCACGATCAGCTTGTTGAGACAGTGGTGGAGGAAGGATGGGGCCCCTCCAAGTGGATGGACGGTTAAGACAAAAGCATGAACACCTCTGAGACGCTTTAGACAGTAGCATGCATTTGAGGGACAAGAGGGCTTGCTCGCATGGAAGGGATACCACTCGCTTCTGACTAGGTCTCCCCCTCCCCTGCTCACACCCTGGCTGCCCCTTCGGAAGAGAGCCCAAACCCAGACCTCTGTCCATCCTGCTTTCCAGCTCACAGGTCTCACCCTCCTTTGGAGATTTCTTTAAAATCTCAAAAAGCAAAGATGTCACTTCAATGACTAAGTTGCACTGACCCAAACCATGGTGTTTCTTTTCAATTACCTCTTATGCTTCCCAAGCTGGATGATGAAAAAGGAAGATCGAAAAAGAGTAGACGATTTGAATTGTGGTGTTGGCGAAGAATATTGAATATACCGTGGACAGCCAGAAGAACGAACAAATCTGTATTGGAAGAAGGACAGCCAGAATGTCCCTTAGAAGCCAGGATGGTGAGACTTCATCTCGCTTGCTTTGGACATGTTATCAGGAGGGACCAGTTCCTGGAGAAGGACATCATGCTTGGTAGAGGGTCTTCGAAGAAGAGGAAGTCCCTCAATGAAATGGACTGACACACAGTGGCTGCAGCAATGAGCTCAGACATACTGACTGTCTTGAGGATGATCTGGTAACATTTCCTTCTGTTGTGCGCGGGTCACTGTGAGTTGAATCAACTTGACAGCACCTAACAACAACTCCACCCTAAACAAACACAGGTCTCTTCCTCCTAAACAAACAGGTGTCTCCATCCCAAACAAACTCCTCCTCTGCGCCGCCCAGCTATTTCCTCAGATAACAGCCCTACAAGAGGCCAGGGAGGGAGCTGCCCTTGACCTGCCTCCTGTGGCCTGAGGCAGCTGCTCCGACCTCCTCCCCCTCCCTCACCTTCTTCCTCCTCTGCTGCCAGCACCACTTCTGCTCCCAGAGCACCCTGTCCCCTAATTCTCACTTCCCTTGGTGGGCAGGTCAGGGCTGGTCTGGAATTCAAGGATCTTGGCCAACTGACTCCAGCCTCCTCTTCCAGGCTGGCCTCTGGCCGCTCCCAGTGACCTGATTGGAGTTTGGGAACTGCTGTCCAGCCTGGAGGTGTGGGTTGGGGGGGTGGGGGTGGACATTTCCACAGCCTTTCAGGAAATGCTGACTAGAGCACAGTGACCTCAAGACTGAATTTCTAGAAGGCAAAGTGCTGGCCCCTCTCCTGCCTCCAGTGAGTCGACGTGCCCACTGTGAGGTCCCCAGAGAGGCTGGCCCCCTCTCCTGCTCCATCACATGAGCATGCCCACGGTGGGACCCATAGAGGCCGGCAGGCCTGGGCGCCTGCGGCAGGGGTAGGGGGACGTGCTTGTGTGTGGGGTCTGTGTTTGTGACAGGAACTTACATCCTGACACCCGCCGCCCCCCCCCCCCCACACACCTGAGGCTGAGGGAGGAGGGTCTGATTTCACCGACTTGACCTCTACCCATCTGGGACCACGTGGCCCCGGCAGCCAGATTCCCCTCCTACCCACCCTAAGGCTGGTCAGGCCGACCTCACCCCGGTCTTCGGGGCGGACTGACACCGCAGCGCCCCGCCCTGCCCGAGGCTCCCCTGAGCCCCGCCCCACATGCGCCTCGATCTTTAAGCCGGCGTGGCTGGCTTGGGGCGGGGACCGATGGCAGGGACGACGGGGGACGGGCCGGGAACGGCGGGGGATCGGCCGGGGGCCACCCCGGCCCAGAGCCTGAGCGCGCTGCGGGGCTACCGCGTCTACGCGCGCCGCTGGGTCTTCCTGCTGGTGCTCAGCCTGCTCAGCTGCTCCAATGCCACGGTAGGGCCGCGGGGTCCAGGGCGAGGGTCCCGAGCGTAGGGGTCCGGGGGCGTGCGGGCGGGCGGGGTGCCGGGGTCGAGCCGAGGGTGCCCCGGGCCCCCGCCGACCCAGCTCCCACCTCCGTCTGCCCCGCACACTCTCGGTGCGCCCGAGCCCAGGACGCCGTCTGGTCCGGGCTCGGGGGCTGCGGGGACCGGGACTGCACCCCGGGACCGGCCTGGGTTTCATTTTCCTGCAGCCAAAGCGCCCGCCGCCCCGCCCGACACCAAACTTCCTTCCCGGCGCCCGCGCGCCGCGGAGCCGGGCTGTGGCCTGGGACAAGCGAGTGGGAGGCGTCGGGGCGGACAGCGCCCTGTCCCTGACGGTGGCTGGCAGCGGCGGTGGCCTGGCTGGCCCCCAGGCCTGTAACCTAGAGTGGTTCCCGGGGATCGCATTCCTGCAGCAGGGCCCTGGGGGCTGGGGGTGGTGTCACTGTTTACAGCGGGGGAAGGAGGTCCTCCAGCGGCCCTGCCTTTTGGACTAGCAATTCATCATCTGGCGGCTGCCCTCCCTCGCCAGCCCCGCCCCCGCATCTCAGCTCCCACCCAATAGGCCATGGGCCCCTGTAGGGCAGGTGTACCCTCTCTTTGGCTCACCTGTGCCGGGACACCGTTCCCTGGGGTTCTGACGCAGGGCCCTCACAGGATGAGTTACTCACCCCCCCACCCCCGTGTTTCCATAGCCCCCAGCTGGGGTCCTGCAGAGCTACTCCTGGGACTGCACTGAGCTGGGGCAGGGGCTGTCCTCCATCCTAACAGCAGAACAGCAGGGTCTCCTGGACCAAGTGCGTCAGCCCGTGAGAACCGGGAAGGCTGATTACCAGAGTCTTAGGCCCCCCCAATCCCCCCCCGACTCACTCCCATCCCTCTCTCTGGCCACAGGCTGGCTGTCTCTGTCACCCAGTCCACCTCCAGGGTCCCGGCCACCCCTGGAGCCTGCCAGGTGACTGGCTGCTCTCACTGGCTCTGTGGTGTATGTCTTCCCCACACAGCTGCCGCACTGATCTTTTTCACGGGAAATCAAGTTGAAAGAGGCTGTATAAGGAACTGGAAGCCGGGTGGGGAGGCCAGAGCAGGGTGGGGGAGGGGAGAGGGGCTGAGAGGTAGACCAGGGGCCTTTGGGGACCCCAGAGGGAGAAAGGATTTTATTCTGAGCGTGATGGTCTCGGCCACAGTGGGGACAGTGATTGGGGGAGGGGAAGAGGGAGGCTGGGGGAAGGGCTGTGTGAGCCCATGAGGCCTGGGGGTAGTGACAGGGCAGGGGACGCATGGGGGCATGGGGACGTGTTCTGGGAGGAGAGAACAGTGTTGTCCATGGGCTGTTTGGAGCCAAGTGGGAAAGGGGCCAAGGCCAACTTCAAGTCCTCTTCCAGAGCCAGGCATGGGTAGGCAGTGCCTGTTCATGAACCAGAAGCGGGAGTGTTGTGGAGGGGGAGGGGAGAGGCTTAGCCCTGCCCCCCTTCACACACTGGGCATCTGTGTCTGGGCCCCTTATTCATATGGTGCCTGGATCAGGAGATACTCAATACGCGTTGTTGGCCTAAAGGCCGTGTGACTAAAAAGGGTGCCTGGACCCCTCAGGAATTGGCACCCCACGACCCCCTGTGGTCTCCAACTCTGTCCACTTGTCCAAGCTGCATCCCAACTGCCCACTGCCTTCCACTGGGGCCTCCTTGGCGGATCTTTGTGACCCCCCCGCCCCCAGCCAGGCAGCGCATGCACCTTGGACAAGCATCCACGTGCACTTGGGTGGCTGCTCGGCGCCCACTGACCTCCAAGGTGGCCTCCTGCTCACCAGATGTGATGGGGACTGGCCGTCCTCCCAGCCCGAGGTCACTCCTGAGTCTCCCTCCGTCCCTGCTGCTGCCACCTCCGTGCATGAAGGAAGGGGCTGTGCAATTAATTATTCACCTTGCAGAGACCTCGGGAACTGGGCGGACAGCATGGGGCAGCTGTATCATGAAAAGCTGAAATTGGCGGCAGGACCTACAACTCACAGAGGTGCTGGACCTCTGCTGGACAGTCAGAGAAGGCAGGCCAGCGACCAGGGATCATGCAGGACAGGCATGGGACAGAGCCTGAGACTGTCGCTGGGCTCTGGAAGCTCGCTCTTGACTCAACAGGAGCAGCTGCGGGCTGGTTTCTGGGGGCCCTCTCTGTGCGGGCCTGGGTTCAGGTGCCTCACCGCAGGGCCTGACGGCTGCTATGCAGTGATCCAGAAACTACCCCTGTGGCCGCTTGGACCAGCCGTGACTTCCTCGCTGTGGTCTGGCTCCCAGGCCACCTGCGCCAGCAGCCTAGCATAACTGGCTTTGGGTGGAGTGGTCTGAGGCTGCAGGACTGCCCTGGAGCAGAGGTTGCCCTCAGCCCCCCGTTCCTGCAGCGGTTGTCACAGTCAGTGGGAGCTGGGGCCTCCGGAAGGTCCTTGGCCACTGAAGTGCATCCACTGTGCAAGTTTCTTTTTTTTTTTTTTAATCCACAAATCATTGTGGAACAAACCAAAACTTCACCCTGACAACCAAGAATTGTCACAATTCCTGCCCTGGTCACCCTAATGAGCAGTGAAAATTGTATTTTTCCTGGTGAGACAGTGGTGGTCCAGTGGTAGAATTCTCTCCTTCCATGTGGGAGACCCGAGTTTGAGTCCCAGCCCATGCACCTCATGCACAGCTGCCACCTGTCTGTCAGTGGAGGCTTTCGTGTTGCTATAATGCTGAACAGCTTTCAGTGGAGCTTCTAGACTAAGGCAGACTAGGACAAACTAGGAAGAAAGGCCTGGTGATCTCCTTCCAAAAAATCAGTCAATGAAAACCCAATGGATTACAACAGTCTGATCCACAGCCAATCATGAGGATGGTGCAGGGCCAGGCAACGTTTCGTTCCATTGTACATGGGTAGCCATGAGTCAGGGCCGACTCAACAACAGCTCACAACAAGCTCCACCGCAAGCCCCTAGCTCCTCCGTCTACAGCCCCAAGTGCCCAGGGCTCCCAGATTTGGAGAGCAGCAGTGTGAGGGACAGGATGGGGCAGTGCTGGGAGTGAGGTCTGGGTCCCGGCAGACAGTCTGCAGCCCAGGAGAGCCCAGCATTCCAGGAGAGCCACCAGCACGTCCAAAGGGGCACGAAGGGTGAGCTTGGGGTCCTCTAAACTGGCGCCTGGCAGAGCTGGGAGCAGATGAAGGACGTTCTTGCACGAAGCATGAATCAGGCAAATCAGGGCCCCGTCCCCACCTTGCCTAGCCCCTCTTTGCCCAGTCCGGCCGGGAGAGGGGGCAGTTTAAGAAGCCATGTTCCCCCTCCACTGGTTGGCTGGGCAGGAAGCAGCGGGCCTACTTGAGGGCGCCCCTCGGCCTGGAGATGTGTCCCTGCTCTGTTGTGAGAAAAGAAGGAAGAAGAGGCAGCTGTTTCCCCAGCTCGTGTCACATGAGGGCCTGGGGTCTGCGGCCAACACTCTGAGTGGGTCAGGAAGCTAGACTTTGCCGCCTCTGCCAGGGTGTGGCCTTGGGCAAGCATCCTGAGTCCCTGCGGGCCTGGGTGGCCTCTTCTCCAGGCACACAGCCGGGTTCTTCATGGGCTTTGATTTGTGACACTCACTCATTTGTGGTCTCTGTGTGGCCTCCCTCCTTCCCTCCTGTAATAAGCCTCGGCACTCCACTTCTCTCCTCCACCCACCCAACCTTCAGGGATGAGTCATGCCACCTCCTCCAGGAAGCCTTCCCCTCTGACCCAGCTGCACTGTCCCACTGGCCACTTCTGTGGGTTTCAACTCTTGATGATGCATGTTGGGGGGGGGTGTCACCTCGGTGGGTCTCACTTGCCCAAAAGCACAGGGTCTCCTGGAGGGCAGGGTGGGGCTGGCTTGGGCAGGGCCCGCCCAAAATTGGATGTTTCTACCTCAGGCCCAGTCACCAAGTTTGCAGACAGGTGGAGCTGCCTAGTGTATCCCCCGTCCCCTGGTGAAAAGTCCCTCTGGCCCCTGCCTTGATGCCCCATGTCTCCCCTGCCCCGAGGAGCCCCTCTGACTCCTTCCTGGGCCCCTGCTTGGCCCCTGCATGACTCTCCCAGGCCGTACTACCCCACAGTCCTTCTCACACTCCCGTCCTCTGGACATCTGTCCATAGGCATTAAGTCTCCACGGCCCGAGCAGGCCTGGCGCTCTCTCCAACAAGTTCCTCTGCTGGCACCCTGCTCAGCAGAGCTACATGATCGGGAGGCAACCAGCGTGGACACCGTGCCTGTTCCCTCTTCCACCCTCCTGGGTCGCAGCCCAGCGCCAGACGCCTCCCTCCCGGCTGGGTCTGGGTCGGCTCCTTCATCTCTGCTGTCTTAGCTCCCTAGTGCTGCTGTAACAGACATACCACAAGCGGGTGGCTTTAAAGAACAGACATGTATTTTCTCACAGTTCAGGGGGCTGGAAGTCTGAATTCGGGGCATGAGCTCCTCATCCCTTTGCAGCTTCCGTCGCCCTGGAGTTGCTCAGTTCCTTGGCAATCTTCATGGGGCATCTGTCTTCCCTGTGTGCTTGCTTCTGTATGGTCTGTCTCTTCCTGTCTACTCCCACTGGACAAGGTGGACATGTCACCTCCTTGAAGGATTAAGTCCAGTCCCTGGGCAGGGCTTGCCGGCCACAGGACCTCGGGGTTCATGCGAGGACCCCAGGGCCACTCCAGGGACAGCTGTGATGTCCATCATGGGCACACCATCTGACCGCTGCCCTGTGCCCCACAGAGCCCAGGGGACAGTGTCTGCGGCCCTCTGCCCAGGCTGACCCCACCGCCTTGTGTCCCCACAGCTGTGGCTCAGCTTCGCGCCTGTAGCCGACACTGTCGCCAAGCGCTTCTCCCTGTCCATCAAGCAGATCAACTGGCTTACGCTGGTCTACTTGGTGGTATCCATCCCGTTCGGTGTGGCGGCCATCTGGGTTCTGGATTCGGTTGGGCTCCGTGTCGCGGTGAGTCTCGGACACCACAACGAGGCCGGATCTGGGATGGGTGGGGTCTGCCTCACTGGAGCACTGGAGCTGTCATCACCTCCCCCGACTGGGGGTCTGCGAAGCCCAGCCTCTCCCCCACCCCGCCCTCCAGATGGGCAGCTCCCCAGCAGGATCACAGCACGGTTGGGGCAGTGGGAAGTCAGGGTGTCTGCATGTGGGGTGCAGGGCCAGGTTAGGTCAGGGTGCTGGGCAGGTGTAGATCTGAGGTGAGAAATGTTGGGGTGTATGGCACAGAGGGGAGGAGAAATATCTGGAGGGGGTGGGGGCAGGGCAGGATGACACCTGCAGGTGGAGGGAATCTAGGGTGGGGGGGTCTTCAGAAAGGCACAGGGCTGATGTTCAGGGTCTGGAGCCCCTTGAAGAAGTTTTTTGGGCCCCGTTTCTGCTCGGCACCACGTGGTAAGAGGAGGCTGCTTTAGGGAGTTGTAAAGGGTGGCACGTGGCATCTGGGTGACGCCTGGCAGAGCCTGGGCAAGGCTGGGAGCCCACACCTGCCGACTGGTGTCCACCGCTGGTGGTTCTGCCTGGAGGTCGGATGTGGGGGGAAGCGAGGGCTGCATCTGCAGCCTCGGCCGTGGGTGGAGGCGAGACCTCCCAGGACTGCGGAAGAAGGAACGCCAAGGATGCCCCGAGAACCCCAGCACTTAAGGGGTGGAGTGAGGTCCATGAGGGAGGGAAGCTATCAGAGGAAGAAGAAAGAGAGACCTAGGAACTGACCGCTGGGAGAGCTGGGCAGCAGGGCCTGAGTACTGGGGGCCAATGTGTGGGCGGAGACCCTCAGGACCTCAGCCCACCCTGTCAGGGCAGCGTCGAGAGAGAAGCGAGGGGGCCGGGAGGAGCGTGCTCGGTCACCTGCACGGGCCACAGCGCAGCAGATGGCAGAAATGTCTCAGGAGCTTGTGAGGAGGAAGGGACCTGAGGGGTGGGCCCCAGAGGAGCGTGACTGGGGAAGGGTCTAAAGACTGAGAATCTGGGGTGTGCCTTCAGGGGGAAGGGGACGCGCCAGTAGGGAGGGGGAGGCTGAAGATGAGGGGGATTCTCAGAGCAGGTTGGGGAAGGCTTAGGGGGGAGAAGAGGCTCCGTTCTCTGAAGAGGGGGAAGACCCTATGAGCTGGCAGGCAGGGGGCTGACTTTCAGTACAGTAGGGGGTGGAGAAGCAGGACATTGGGGTTGGTGGGGAAAGGTGGAGGGTCTGAGGTGAATGGGGTGCTGCCCCATCAACCCTCAGCTGACTGCGCATTTCCAGCCTATGACCTCTCCCCCCAACCCCCTCGGCTGTGGAGGAACAAAGGGCGAAGGGGGTTGGGTTTTGCCCTCCTCCCAAACACTTCACCCCGGTGCCTTGGTGGGGTCAATGGCACACCATCCACCCTGCCTCCCCACCGCCCTCCCTCCACTCCCCTGTCTACCCATCCTCCATGGAGACCAGGAGGGGCCGTTGATGGTCCCAGGGAAGGGATAGTGCTCCGATGATGTGGACACTGCCCAGGCCTGGCTTCCCAGCCATGCCCATGGCCAGAGCACTCTGTCTGTCCTGGAAGTAAACGCCCAGGAGGGAGGGAGGAGCCCATGGATCTGTGAGGAGGGGCAGCCAAGGCAGGGTGGCCTGAGCAGCGCTCCTGTCCTGTCCCTGCAGACCGTCCTGGGTGCGTGGCTGAACTTCCTTGGGAGCGTGTTCCGCGCTTTGCCCTGCATGGATCTTTCATTCCGGACTCCGTTTGCCTTCCTTATGGCTGGGCAGAGTCTCTGTGCCCTGGCCCAGACCTTGGTTGTCTTCTCTCCGGCTAAGCTGGCTGCCGTGTGGTTCCCTGAGCACCAGCGAGCCACAGCCAACATGATCGCCACCATGTGTGAGTACAGGCGGGGGCGGGGGCCACCTCCAAGCCCCTCCCTCGGGCTCCTCTGCCTCCTCTGGCTTTGCTGCCATGGTCCTGGCGCCTAAGGCCCCATACTCCCCGTGCTTTCCGGTAGGGGGTGGTGGCACCAGAGCTGGGAAGGTCCTGCAGGAAACAGGCAGACCTGACATTTCTCTGTCCATCCTTCTGTCCATCCAGCAAACCCCCTGGGCATTCTGCTGGCCAATGTGCTGTCGCCTGCTCTGGTCCAGGAGGAGGATGACATCCCCTTGATGGTGAGTGAGGTCACGAGTGTGTGATGTGTGTCAGTGGGTGTGCACTCGTGCACCCACACATGTCCATGTGAGCGTGCACTTGCGCATCCATGCACACACCAGACACCGGGGTGGGTGACATGATGTGCATGGGACCCTCTATGTCTGTGCAAGTGTTGGTGCTGTGTCAGGCACCGTTCTAGGGGCTGGGATGCCAGGTGATTACATTCCACTGGGGACCCGAGGCCACTGGTGAGAGGCAGTCAGGGGAGGGCACTGGTGACCAGGGTCAGAGAGGAGGAGACATTTGTGCTGAGAGCAGGGGCCGGGAGCTCTGAGGGGGTGTCTAAGAAGAGGGAGCAGCAGAAGCCAAGGCCCTGAGACAGGACAGCTCTCGTAGCAAAAAGGCTCAAGGAGCAGATAAGCTCTCCACTGGAGCAGCTCTAAGACGGTTCTCAGCCAGTGCCACTGCCCTCCTCCAGTGATCAGCGAGTGCAGCTTCTCTGCCATGCAGGCCTCCCTGCCATCAGCCTCTCTGCTGCTAACTGGCTCAGCTCATAGCCAGGGTAGCAGCTCACTCAGCTCTCTTAGCTGCTGCCCTCCTAGCTAGGAGCCTGCCACTGGGCCTCTCTGCCGCCAGGTGCTCTGCCATCGGCCTCTCCATCACCACCAGCCCAGCCCACAGCCAGAGTAGCAGCTTGCTCAGCTCTCTTAGCTGCTGTCTGCCATCAGGCTTCTCCGCCACTGGCTCTCCACCATCAGCCTCTCTGCTGCTAACTGGTCCTGCTCACAGCCAGAGTAGCAGCTTGCTCAGATCTCTCAGCCGCTCTCTGCCGTGAGGCGTCTCTACTGTCAGGCCTCTCTGCTGCTAACTGGCCCAGCTCATAGCCAGTGTAGCAGCTGCAGGACCACTCTGCTTCTCCGCCACTCTCTCTCTCAACCAGAAGGCCTAGAAACTCTCTGCATCCAGCCATTTATATATCCCGATCCTCAGTTACAAGGTGGGACCTCCCTCACCAGACCAGAGTTCAGCCAATCCTCAATTACCCATGAGATGTCAGTCAATTCAGGTCTTATTCAAAAGTAACATTTTCTGCCAGCAGAGACCAGCTCCTCCCTTGGGCAAAAGTAACAACTCTTTGGGGTAGAAAGCAACCAAGGAGGTCCCCCTCCTTCCCAGTTGCTTCTCCCAAGAACTAGGGCAAAGGTAACTCCTCAGGGCTTAGGGGCAAAATCTCCCAAGCTGTTTTTCTAAAGAACCAAAGCAAAAGGTCACATAAAAGAACTCATTGCACCAGACTGTTAGGTGGGTGAGTTGGAGCTCTGGAGAAGGTCAGGCTAAAGTGTGGGCGTCATCCTTGTGAGATATTTTGAAAGCCATGGCTCCAAATGGAAGCACCTACATGGAGAACAGAGGTGGAGAAAGCCGAGTCTGTAACCAGCCCTGAGCTTCCAGTTGGTTGGAGACCCACAGTTCGAAGGTCCAGAGCAGGCGCGGCCAGGGAGGAAGGAGGGGATGGAGGAGTGCGCCACCACAGAAACCCAGGGCGGGGGCTTCAAGGTGACTACGTGTGAGTGTGCATGGGTGTTTGCATGTGCTTTTGTACCCACGTGCATCCATACTTGTGTGCAAAAGTGTGTGTGCACATGCATGCATACGTGTTCAAATATGCATACCCTCCTGAAGCTTGGTGTCTATGTGATCCCTGCTGGCGTCGCCTGCCTGCTGGCCACTGCGTGCCTCTGGGAGAACGTGCCGCCCACCCCTCCCTCGGCTGCAGCTGCCAGCTCCACCTCGGTGAAGTTCCTTGATGGGCTGAAGCTGGTCAGTGCTCCTGGGGGTGGAGGTGGATTTGCCCTGGGTAGGGTAGGGGGTGCTGGTGTCTGTGAAAGGGAGGAGGAGCCAAGGAAGGCAAGGGGGTCAGGAAAGCTCCTGGTCAGAACCCCTGTGGATTGCATGGTTGCTTGTCCTGACACCAGCATGAGTGAGAGCCCACAAGTTGTCCCTCAGGACACTGACTCCCTGAGTGTGTTGGGTGGGCGTCCCCATTGGTGGTTCCAAGGCTGAGCAGCCCCTTCTTCTCCAGCTGATGCGGAACAAGGCTTACATCATCTTGGCGCTGTGCTTTGGGGCCAGCATCGGGATCTTCTCCAGCTTCACCGCCCTCCTGGAGCAGATTCTCTGTGTGAAGGGCTACTACAATGTGAGTGTCTGCCCCCCCCCGCAACATTAGGGCTGCCCGTGCATGGAGAGGGGCTCAGAGGCTCTGCCATCCACCCCTGTGGAGTCACCCACAACCTCCCCAAATGCTCAGTGTCCATACCTCAAACGGGGACAATGTTGATGACCTTTGGCTGTTGTGGGTGTTGTTGAGATACTAGGTATGAAAAGTGATATCACATGCCAAATGCCGTCTGCAGGTGGTGGTGGAGGAGGTGGTGGTGATGGTGGCTATGGGGATGGCATGGAGCAGGTGGAGGAGTTGATGGTCCTGGTGGCAGGGGTGGTGGTAGAGGAGATGGTGGTGGTGATGCTGGCCCTCAGGATGGGATGGAAGAGGTAGGGGAGGTGATGGTCCTGGTGGCAGGGGTTATAGTGGTAGAGGTGGTGGTGGTGGTGGCCATGGGCATGAGATGGAGGTCCTGGTGGCCATGGAGATGGGATGGAGGTGGTGGAGGTGATGGTCCTGGTGGCAGGGGTAATGGTGGTGGTGGTGGTGGTGGTAGCCATGGAGATGGAATGGAGAAGATGATCCAGGTAATGGTCCTGATGGCAGGGGTAATGGTGGTGGTGGTGGTGGTGGTGGTAGCTATGGGGATGGATTGGTGGTGGTGGTGAAGATGGTGGTGCTGATGATGTGACTGGAGGAGGGGATGGTGGCACTGGGATTTTATATGTGGTGCTTTGAACCATCTTTCCCTGTTAGGCTCCAGCCCTGGCAGGTCTCCGAGGAGAAGTCCTCCTCTGACAGTTGGAGATGAGGACATTGAGGTCTTGCAGAGGGGAGGCACTTGCCACAACCCTTCTGCCATCTGGCATCATCACTGGTCCCCACATACACACTCTTACCTCTACCAGGGTGCACAGGCCTGAGGGCATGTGGGCGTCTGCAGTGACCGTGCCCTTCCCTGAGCCTGGAGGACCATCTCCCCTCCGCAGTTGTTGAGTCTCTGGGTGGGGGGTGATACAGTGGAGAACCTTGACAGGGAGATGCCACCCCACATGGAGGCCCATGGTGCAGATGTGACCTGCCTGTGGTGTCATTCGTGGGCTGTGGGCATTGCACAGTGTTCCTGCCACGGGCCCCCTGGTGACGGTGTATGTCCTAAGGATCAGTGCTAAGCTGATCTTCCTCTGGGGTCCTGGAGGTGCCGTGCCTCTGATGACAGGGTGCCCCTGGCCTCTCCTCCTGCAGGATTTTGCAGGCCTCTGTGGGGCCCTCTTTATCATGTGTGGGTTCCTGGGGGCACTGGGTCTTGGCCTGTACGTGGACCGGACCAAGAACTTCACCGAGGCCACCAAGATCGGCTTCTGCCTGACCTCCCTGGCCTGTGTGGCCTTCGCTGTGGTGAGAGCCCCTTCTTGCTGAGACCACCCCTGCAGGGTGGGGGCTGAGGTGGGTCCCAGGTAGGCAGGAGGGCAGTGCTGTGGGCTCAAGTTACCTTGGGCCAAGGCCAGGAGGGAGCGTGAGAACTGGATGGGGCAGCAGCAGCTCAGCTAAATCCGGCCTCTGACTGCCTGGCTGGTCCCAGGAGATGGGGGCTTCCCTGAGCCCTGCACCCTGCCCTCCCAGCCCCACACCCAGCGCAGCCGGGATGGGTGGGCTCCATCCAGGACCGGGCCAGGTCTGGGGTGTTGGGTGCGTCCAGCAGCCCCTGCCCTCTGTGAGATTGCTCTTGCTCCAGGTGTCCCAGCTGCCAGGACAGACCATCTGGCTGGCGGTCGTCTGCTCCCTGTTCGGGCTCTTCGGCCTGTCCATTGCGCCCATCACCATGGAGCTGGCGGTAGAGTGCTCCTTCCCCGTGGGTGAGGGCATCGCCACGGGCCTGGTCTTCGTGCTGGGGTAAGTGACCATCCACTCCAGTGACCCGCGTGGTGCTTGCTGCCCTTGGGTCCCCATATGCACTAAGCCCCTGGAGACCCTCTCGCCACACCACCCCTCTGCCCAGGTCGCGCAATCCAGCCCCTCGCCTGAGCCCGACCACTTGTCCCTGCCCTTGCCTGCTGACCGAATGGCTGTTCCCTGCCCCTCTGCTGTGGTGGCGTCCAGCGACTCAGCCCAGTGACTGAGGGCCATGTGTGTGTCCAGGCAGATCGAGGGCATGCTCATTATGGTGGTGCTGACCGCACTGACTGTGCACCGTGCAGAGCCGTCCTTCTCCACCTGCCAGCATGGGGAGGCCCCACTGGACTGGACGGGTGAGTTCACGCTCGGACCCCAGGAGCCCCATTCTCAGGGGCTGGCACTGCCTCCAAGACCCTCAGCCCAGGCTGAGCCCCAGAGAGGGGAGGCGGGGAGGTCAGGGCCTGGGGACAGAGGTCCCCTTCTGCCCTCGGCCCTCCTCTGGCTCAGGCCCTGGACACTTGCCCTAGCTGGCCGTGTTCTCTTGGCCACCATGCACTCTCCTGGGAGGGGGCGTGGTGTGGAAAGACAGGGCAGGCGGTAAGCAGTCAGAGGGCCACAGGCAGAACCACTGGGCATAGCACTGTGGGAACTGGGGGCTCCTGGGAGCAGACCTGAGTCCTTGCTTAGACCCCCACCTCTAAAAACCCCCAGTGTGAGGTGTTCAAAAAGAGATCAGAGACGCAGAGGAAGAGAGAGACAGGGGTGGGGTCAGAGAGACAGAGATTCGGGTGGGGACAGAGATCAGACAGATAAAGAGATAGAGACAGACGGGGTGGGGACAGAGATCAGAGACACAGACAGAGACAGGAGTGGGGACAGACCCAAGAGACAGAGGGACTTTGCAGGCTCATGTCCTAGAGACCCTGTGCCTGGAACCTGGGAGCCCAGGGCTCAGTCTGTGATGGGCTCTCAAGCCCTGTGGGGACTGAGAAGGGATCTGTTTCTGGGTGGCTGTGGTCCTGGTTAGTGGGGTCAGCATGGGTCGGGGTCACCGGGCTCGGTCAGTCCTGGGGGCAAGTGTGACGCGTGGTGTTCCCCCAGCGTCCGTGTTGCTGATGGCCAGCCTGTGTGCCGTGTGCAGCTGTGTCTTCGTGATCTTCTTCCACACCCCGTACCGGCGCGTGCAGCTCGAGGCCAGCGCCTCCCCCTCCATCCAGGAGGACTATGTCCAGGGGGACACCAACCCTGAGCCCGCCTCGGCAACCACACCCTGAGCCCCCAGCACCACATCAGCAGCCGGCTCTGCTGGCAAGTGTTGGGAGTGTGTTTCCAGACCCTGCTCTGGCCCCGCTGCCCCTGGGGAGCCCTGACCCCGAAGGGCCCCAGGACCCCGAGACGTCGAGATCACGTCCACAGGTGAAGGGAGTAGGGCCAGGTGTTGACAACCTCTGAGGACAAGAAGTGGGCTGGGACCTTTCTTGAACGGAAGGCTTGCTGGAGGCCTGGCCTGGAGAGGCCAGCTCTCATGAGCTGTGCTGGGGAGATGCCCTGAGTCACACCAAGAGCCTGGGACGGGGTGCCGGCACCCCGCACAGGCACGGGGACTTGGCACACCCAGCGTGCACCCCATGGCCTCAGCCCAAGGCAGATGCTGTGGCCGCGGCAAGAGGAGCTACTTCAGTGTGGACGCAGGTGCACTCCAGGGCGACAGGACCACAGGACACCTTGGTGTCCAGACACAGGACGGCCAGTCCTGGGGAGGGTTAATGCAGGGAGCCGGGCTGGGGGCAGGGCCGAGGGGGAGCTGGGCAGGTGGGGGGGGGGTCGAGTGTGCCCGCATGGCTGAGTCTGGAGTGGACAGGGGTCTCAAGGGCCTGGCTGGAAGAATCCTGCTCCAGACCCTGGGCCGGTGGTAGGGCAGAGGGGGCAGCGAGGGGGCGCACACCAGGAGACCCCCCCCACAGGCAGACAATGCAGGCGCAGGTTTGTGGGCCCACGTTTATTGAGTGGTCGCAGCCCAGGGGAGGCCCTGGGGGTGGGCCCCTCATTCCTCCGTCTCCTCCCTGCCTTGTAGTCTAAGCTGCCCGCAGCATCGATGGAGGCGAACTGGAACATCTGGTTGACCTATGAGCCGGGTGGGGTGGAGGGGCATCAGGGATGGGGGTGGGACCAGAGGGGTCCCTGAAGGGCCCCAGTGGGGTTGGACATGGGTGAATTACAGGCAATGAATTGCTGTCGGCTCTGAGGCTCTTTTTCGAAGAGACGGAGGCGTTGCGGGGGCTGGGGTGCAGGGTTGGGGTGGAAAGGATGGCGCAGACAGCCCCCACTGTGGCCTGGCCCCTCGGCCTGGCCCCGGCCCAGACCCCTCCCCTTCTTGATCACCTACAGGTCACTGAATGCCACAGGCGCCCAGCACTAGGCCTTCCGGCATGTGGGGGTGGGTGGCAGGGAGGTATGGTGGGAGCTGGGGAGGCCACAGTCTCACCCACTGGGCTTGAAATGTGCAGAGCTGGCCTAGGGGGTTGGGTTGCAGGGGATGTGGGGACCCCTGCTGTCAGCACCCACACTTGCCCAGGATGCACCTGGCACTGGCCGCCGCGCTGAGCCCGCTGAGCTGTTTCCCCGCCCCAGGGCCTGTTCTGACAGTGGGTGTGTAGGCAGAGGGGGCGCCCTGCACTGGGGGGCTGCCATGTCCCACAGCTGACCCTCAGAACCCCCAGCCCGTGACGGGCACTGGACTTGGAAGAGGAACGTAGGGGAGGTAGAGGGGAAGGCAGATGGGCCAAGGGGCGGCGGGGCCGAACCTCTTCCATGGTCATCTTGTCGGCCTGGGACATCAGCAGACGTTTGAGGCTAAGGAAAGGGAAGGGAAGGGAAGGTGTTCTGAGAAGGGTCAGCTCGGAGCTAACTGGAGGGGCTGCCTGGGGCGCGCCTGTGACCCACACGTTGGCAGTTCACCCCCTCGGGCTTCTCCACGGAGAGGGGCTAGGGGCAGGACTCTTGGGAAGACCCTGAGGGTGCGGCTGGCTCACTGACGTCTCCCTGCCAGTCCCGCTCACAGCCCAGGCACCCGGGGGGTAGCACCAGGGCAAGGGTCCTTTCCCGATACACACACTCACGGTGCCATCATCCTGGGGACTCTGCCCAGGGGGTGGGGGGCGTCTCATGGGGCAGAGACTAAGGTAGATGAGAGCAAATGCCGAGCACACAGAGGTGCTTTGCCAGAATGTTCCCTTCCCCCGGGCCTGGCACAAGGCTGTTGCTGGGTGCCATCCAGTCTATTACGACTCATAGTGACCCCATGTGACAGAGTAGAACAGCCCCATAGGGTTTCCTAGGCTGCAGTCTTTACAGGAGCAGATTGCCAGGTCTTTCTCCTGCAGAGCCGATAGGTGGGTTTGAAGCCCCAACCTTTGGGTTAGCAGCCGAGTGCTTAACCACTGCACCACCAGGGCTCCTGGCATGAAGTCAAACCAAACCCCTTGCCATCGAGTTGACTCTGACTCATAGCAATCCTATAGGACAAAGTAGAACTGCCCCATAGAGTTTTCTAGGCTGTAATCTTTACAGAAGCAGATTGCCACATCTTTCTCCCATGGAGCGGCTGGTGGGTTCAAACCGCCAACCTTTGGGTTAGCAGCCGAGTGCTTTAACCGCTACATCACCAGGGGTCCTGGCACAAGGTAGCCCACAACAGAAGGGGTTAAATACAATAATAATAAAACAATAATAGTTATTATGTAATAACTCATTAATAATGAATATAATAACTTAGTCATAGTGACAGCGATGCCCCAGTACCTGGCTGGACCCTCAGTGAACAGGACTGGTTAACTCTCAGTTATCCGGGAGGGGACTGAAGCTGGTGAGAGGCGGGGGAGCTGGGCTTGGCGGGCAGGCAGCCAGGCGCCCCCTCCCTGGGGCAGGGTGTCCTCAGACCCTCAGAGCTGACCTGGGGACTCCCTCCCGCCTCCGTGTACCCCTGCCCAGCAGCCGGCCGGCACTCACTACTCCTTGTTGATGCTGCCTTTGCCCTCGGGGTCAAGCATCTTGAAGGCGTTTAGGATGGTCTCCTCAGCGTCTGTACCTGCCCCCAAAGATACCTTGAGCCCTGGGCATTTAGGGTGCCAGTCCTGCTCTGGGCCACACCCCAGGCAGGCAGGGGAGGGGGAGGGGAGGAGGGAGACACAGCCCTGGCCCTGGGACCCCAGGCCTTTGCCACACGGTGCCCTCCGCCTGAGCAGCCCCGTCCACGCCTGTCCACCTGGGAGACCCTGTCCTCCCAACCTGCGGCCACCTCGCTGGGCCTCGACAGGGCTCTTCTGAGCGCCCCTTGGGGTCCAGCTCAGGCCTGGAATTGGGGCGAGTGCTCCACGGTTGAGATGAACAACTCAGCCATCAGCCTCAAGGGACCCAGGGACAGACAGGAAGTGGGGAGGGGGAACAGCCCAGTTCAGTTTGAGTGTCCCAGCTCACATGCCTCTGGGGCGGCAGCCAGGGACCCCCAGAGGTGTAGGTCCCCAAATACTAGGTGTGAAGATTTTTCAGGAGAACTGAAAATATTGATTTTTAAGTAAAATGTCTGGGTTTGTGTTAAACCAGTTGCCGTGGAGCTGACTCCTACTCGTGGCGACCCCACGTGTGTCAGAGTAGATCAGTGCTCCAGGAGGTTTGCAATGGATGAGTTTTGGGAAGCAGATCACCGGGCCTTTCTTCCAAGGTGCCTCTGGGTGGCCTTGAACCTCCAACCTTTCAGTTAGCAGCTGAGTTTGTTAACCATTTGCACCACCCAGGGACTCCTGGATTTGTGTCAAAACCAAAAAAAAAAAAAAAAAAAAACCCGTTGCCATCGGGTCGATTCTGACTCATAGAGACCCTACAGGACAGAGAACTGCCCCATAGGGTTTCAAAGGAGCGCCTAGTGGATTCCAACTGCCAACTTTTTGGCTAGCAGCCATAGCTCTTAGCCACTATGCCAGCAGGGTTTCTGGATTTGTGTCGGGAACTAGCTAAACACAGGCACGGACACATTGGCCTGAGGGGTTCCCCTGGCTAGAGGAGAAGGGGCCTGGCCCCGGCTCCACCTGGCATCTGCTCACATGGCACCCAAGGGGGCTCACCTGGTGTCCCCACACCTGGTGCCCACCCACCTGGAAGCCACAGGCACTCACCTTGTGTCCCCACTCCTGGCCATCACAAATCCGGCATCCATGGACACTCACCTGGTGTCTGCACCCCTGGCGCTCACACACCTGGCATCAGCAGGCTGTCACCTGGTACCCCCATACCTGGCAGCCGCATACCTGGTGTCTGCAGGCATTTACCGTTCAGCTTCTCCCCAAACAGGTTCAAGAACATAGTGAAGCTGATGGGCCCCAAGGCCTCCTTGAGCATGGCATCTAGCTCATCGTCCTTGATGTTGGTTTTGCCTGTGGCAGACGCGGGAGTGGGGGTGGGGACAGAAATGTCACCTCCTGGGGAAGCCCCTGCCCTCCGTGTCTGTCCCCAGCCCGGCTCTCTGTCCTTCCCCCGTTGTGGCTATTGTCACTACTGCCTGTGCTGTCCCCACTGGCAGGTGAGCCCTGGGGGGGCTGTTCTGTCCATTCACCAGGGTGATCCCACAACAGTGCTGGCACACGGAGACAAGGGAGGGGATCCTGACCCACCCTGGGGATATCCTCTGCCAGCTCTGGGTACACCAGGGGGGATTTCCTCTCCTGGGAGAGGGCCCTGGCCCCACCTCCTCACAGCCGGCAGGGACGGGGGTCAGCTCTCACCCCAGAATTGTACTTGAGGTCGGGGCACCCAGGCTTTACTCAGAGAGGAAGGATGAGGGTGTGTTGGGGGGCTGAGGGTCCGTGGGCTGACAGCATTCTCCCGGGACCACCTATCCAGGGAGACATAGGTGTCCTTCAGGTCCTCCTTGTCGACAAACCTGTCTCGGTTCTGATCCATCAGCGTGAACGCCTGCAAAACCAAGCCAGGGTGCTGGTGCCACCGCCACCCGGCTCCACCCTTCCGAGTTGCACCTTCCTCTCACACCCGCTGCCCCCTGCTCCAAGTGAAGCTCTCAAGGGCCTTTCATGCACCTACGCTAGGCCTTCTGGGGGCCTCAGGCCGAGCCTTCTGGGAACAGGGGCTCACCTCCTTGAACTCCTGGATCTGGGTCTGCTCAAAGTTGGAGAAGACATTGGAGGATGCCCTCTGGGCCCGGAGGGCCCCCCCTTTCTTCTTCTTGGTCTTCCTGCTGGCCTGGAATGAGAACGGAGCCTGAGGGTCCTCTAGGCAGCTGGGGTGGGGGGAATGCTCTGGTGTTTTGTGAGATTTAACTCGGAGGGTGGGCGGGCCGTGCACTGGGTGGGGGGGGCGGGGCGAGAGGGGCTGGGCAGCTGCAGGCTCTGGGTTCCCAGCATCAGTGGGGAGGGGGCAGGGCAGTGACCCCGAGGAGGCCTGGGAAGAACACAGCCCCCAGACTCGGGCCTCTGAACTTGGCTGGCCTCTGGGTGCTCAAGGGGCAAGCTGACTGTATGGGTGGCCAGGAGGTGGGTGGGTTTGTTCTGAGGGTCTGTCAGCAGGGCGGCTGTCAGGCGTGTCTCCCACCCCCAGCACAGAGGCCCACCCTGTCTCCTGCTCACTCCCGCTCTCCTCCGGTCCCAGCCGCCCGCCCTCCCTGCACTCACGCTCACCATGCCTGTCCGCCAACGTGCAGCCTGTGCCCCTGCTGCCCAGGCTCGTCCGTCTTAAGCTGCTGCCCGGTCCCCCAGGACGGCTCCAATGTCGGCCATCGCTCCCTACAAGGACAGGCTCCCGGCCACCCTGAAGGACCAGATGACTGCAGAGCAAGCTCCAGGCAGCCCGGGGGTGACTCAGGTGCCCCTCCCTGCCCAGCCCTCTGCCCCAGCTCCCAGCCCTCCCTGCCCCCACCCAAGAGCCTTCATCCCCAGGAGCAGTCAGCAGGGCCCACAGCCTCATCCCAGGGCCACCCTTCCATCCTCACGGCCGGGAACTCCTGCCTGGCACCTGGGGACAGATGACATGGCCTGGGTGGAAGGGAACTGGTGGAACCACGAGGCCAGCACTCAAACTCCAACCTGCTGGAGTTCCCACTGCACCTCCCACCCCAATTGAGAATAAACCACAGCCTCGTGGGCAATGTCTAGGGGAGCCTGCGGGCCTGCAGAGATGAAAGACGCACTCCAAAGTCGGGAGCCCTCTGCCAGCGGGGTGGGAGCGGGGCGGGAGAGGGCCTGGGTGAGGCTGTTTGGGAGTCTGGAGGCCCAGCAGGAGAGGGGACAGGGCTGCGGGTAGAGAGAGGTGGCGGCAGGGACCCTGCATTATTCCACCGCACCGCAGCTCCCCGCCTGGAGAACACCCTCAGAGTCCTCAGGGCCTGTGTCTGGGTGAGAGGTGGCAGTAAACAGGACCGAGAGCAGTTAGGGACAGGGATAAAGGACCTGGCCCCCCCCCCCCCCCCGAGAGTGCTCGGCTCCCAAACCACATCTGCATTTGCAAAAGCAGCCCCCACGGTTCCCTTTCTGTATTGGGATTCTGCTCCCCAGGGGACATGCAGCCTCGCGGGCACCAGTGGCTTCCTGGTAGGTAGGTGCCAGCACGCTAGGTTCCTGGGCTTGGATTGTCTTCAGGCAGCTCAGTGTTTGCTGACAGTGTGGGGGACGGGACGCCACAGGGTCAGTTCACTGTGTGTCTGTGTGTGTCTGTGTGTGTGTGTGAGACAGAGAGACAGGGCCAGGGCTGGGGAGCTCTGGGAGGCATTGACGGCCTGGTGAGCTGGGGGGCTGCAGCCTGGGAGGATGCCCAAAGGGATGCAGTTACCTGAAGGGGGAACACGGTGGCAAGGCCGGAGGCAAGGGCCAGGGCAGGTTCATGGGTTTTATTCCTGGCTGGGCTCAAAAGGGCCTGATGCTGGGAAAGCCGAGAAGGGCCAAGAGAGCCCCCTGGGGAGGGTTCCTGGGGCAGCCGGAGCCTGAGCTGGCACTAAAGATAGCCCGGAGCCCCAGGAGAATGTTAGGCTTTGCCTGACCAGCATGGCCGACAGATGCAGCAGTACCACAGGCAAACCCAGAGTCCTGTGCCAGGTGGGCACTGGGACCCCAGGAAGGGCCCTGAGCCAAGGCAGGAGTGTGTGTGCATTGGGCGGTCCTATCTCCCCCTCCCCGCCCCGTCTGTGGTAGCTACGTGATCCCCTTTCCCTCCCACCACTCCAGCCCCCACCTTCGGCCCCAGAGACACTTATTTTTGATTCTGGAAGCAGGAGCTGCTGAGGAGCCTGGTTTATTTTAAAATCCAGTGAAGGAAAAGCACATTTGCCACCTGAGGTCATCGGCCCAACTGCTCAAGGGCAAGAACCCAGGGCTGTGCGGGGTGGGGGCAGGGACGAGGGTGCTGGAGGCCAGGCATCCCTCCTCTGCGGTTTATCTCGTGCCTGGGAGAGGCGTTATAAGCTTTAATAGCAGTGAGGGCTGCGGAAGGGTTCTGCACCCCCATGAGGCCCAGTGGAGCCCAGGCCCATGTCCTCATCCACTCTTAGGCTATCCCCAGGCAGACGGAGGCTCAGGGCAGGTCTCAGGGTCTTTGGAGCCTCAGAGGCTGAGTGTGGTCTGCTTCTGGACCCCTGAGGGCCTGGGTTCAGGCAGAAAGGTTCAGGGAAGGAGATGTCCCCTCAGAGGTGGGGGAAGGAGCGGCCAGTGGAGTCCTCAGAGGGCAGATGGCGCAGGGTGGGGTGGCTCTTGGGCCCCACGCCAGCCTCACAGTGCAGCAGACTGAGGGTGAGCAGGAGGGCTCAGCGGTCCTGTAGATTGGCCTTGGTGTTCCCACCCCTCAGACCAGAAAACAGAGGGCAGGTGACTCCTGTCAACCAGAAATGACCGCAATCAGTCTACACCTGCTCCAGGTGCTTCCACCTAAAAGCCTTCCTCAGCTGGTGTTTTCCAAACCCACATTCTCTGCAGACTTCATCACGGTAAAGCCACGAACCCTTGTCTTGCAAATGAAAGACTGGATGCACGGCCCAGTCGCAAACTTCTCCTCCCCGCGCCCCCATAGGACCCGTCTTTGCTACAGTGACAGCTTTCCAGAACCTGTCCCTTTTTTCCCAACAAACTTCCTCCACGCGTCTTAAAAATGGAGGCTGCTCTCTCTCCCAGACTGAAGTCTGGTATCTCCCCTGGAGAGCCAGACTTCCTGCCGCAGCAGTTTGGCTTATTCCTAAATAAAACCTTCGTTAAAATTTTTAATACTATAACTCGACTCCAGAACTGTCATTTAACACTTCCCAGAGCTCCCTGGGAAACCCTCGCGGCGTAGTGTTTCAGAGCTACAGCTGCTAACCGAAAGGTCGGCTGTTCAAATCCACCAGTTGCTCCTTGGAAACCCTATGGGGCAGTTCTACTCTGTCCTGTGGCATCGCTATGAGTCAAAATTGACTCAACGGCAACGGGTTTGTTTTTTTTTAGAGTTCCCCAGGCAGGGAGGCCCAGAGCCAGGACTGCTCTCATAAGACTGTGTCCTACCCAGTGGTCAGGACCACAGGCAGGGCCTCTGTGCGAAGCTGCCCAGGGTCAGGACGTTGAGAATGTTCCAGAAAGGGAGCAGGCTCTGCCCCCAGGCCCTGCACACGGAGGGGCTCAGACGGGGTGAGGGTGGCCTGAGGCCAGCATGTGGGATTTACCGAGCACCTGGGCCAGTCCTGGGGTTTTTGTCACTCAGCGCCTTTGATGCCCTTTAGATTCATAGTTATGGTCTCTTTCAAAACATGAGGGTTTGATGAGGGGTTAAGTGGGCTTTCTCATCCCAGCAGAGTGGGGACCTTGCTCGGGGCGCAAGTCTTGGTTTGCAAGGGACTCCAGCCCAGAGCAGCGTGGGGTTCGGGCAGTGGGAGGTGGGTGGGGTGCTCCTCTGGGCTCAGGGCTCTCCTGCCCAGATTCTCCGTGGACGTGCTGTGTCTGCGCAGGGCACTCCTGTGTGCCACTCTCACTCCATCTCTGGGATAGCCCCTGGGCAAACCTGGGGCTCTCCCAGGCCATGCCTTCCCTCAGTCCAGCCCCAGCCAGGGCCGACCACGGGGCTGGGGCCTGACCTGGGCTCGGGTGAGAGGATGGAGCTGCCCCCTGAGACGGAGGACAGCAGACAGGAGAGGCCAGGGACGGTCCCTGAGGCCCAGCTGCCTGGTTGGGGTGGGCTGGGAGTTTGGGAACGCATGCGCTGAGGGCAGGGCAGTCAGGGAGGCCCAGGGAGCAGTCTCTGCCAGAAGCAATCCTCCCAGGAAGACCCCAGCCCCCCGTGGAGTTAGGACAATTCCCAGGGTGTAGGACTGGGGGTGGGGGCAGGCAGGTGGCTTGAGAATGCACCCAGCGGAGCAGTCCCTGGAGTGGGGAGGGGCCCTGGGCCCCTGACCAGCCTAGCTCGGTTTTGACTCCTGAGGTGCTGGGCGGAGGGTTACTCACTGCCCTGGGGCCACCCCTTCTCCAGTGGGAGATCACGCCTACTGAGAGCACACTCTGTACCCGCAACTCCGGAGTTCGCTGGCCAAAGGCCTTACTGGAGCCCAACTGCCGGCCCCCAAAGCCCCTTCCCCGCCTGTCCCCTATGGCAGACTTGCCCAAGTGAGCACAGCTGGAGGGCTGGCCGCCGGCTTGGGTGCGGCCTGGGCGTCCACACTCGATTGGCAGAGGGCGGTGGGAAGCCTGTCTCCCTGGGCACCACGTCCTGGGCGTGTGTGAGGTGGGGTGGAGTTCTGGGAGGGGTCCGAGAATCTTTCAAGCGGGTCTTCCAAGCAATTACGGGAGATCTCCAAAGTGGGAGGCCAGCGCATATTTTGGTTTGCAGATTGTAAACTTAATTTCTACCAGTCAAATATTTTGACATGCTGCGTGTGGCCTCGGTTTGTACTCGACCTGGCCCCGAAATCGTTAAGGGACAGCCTGCAGCAGGAGCCGGGTGGGAGGTGGAGGCGCTGCAGCCTGGGCCGGGGGCTCGGCTGTGGGGGATCCCGAAGGCGAGCCGCGGGTAGACTGGTCTCCCAAGCCCAAACCTCTTCTGGGAAAGAAACCCTTGCGCCTCGGAGCGCCCACCGCGCACGCGCACCCCTCGAGGGTACCGTGCAGGTTAGTGCGGGCTCGGTGACGTCACCCGCTGAGAGGGGCGAGCGCCGTTCCCTCTTTCGCCGCCAGGTGGCGCCGCCCCACGCCATCTCTCCGCCGAAAGCGCATGCGCTCGCGCCCGGGTCGCCCGCGGTACACTTTTACGTCTCCTCGGCGTTCCGGGCCCTTGCGGTGTCTTCCTCCGGCTGCGGATTGTGCTTCCGGTGCGAGGGTCAGGGACAAGATGGTGCCCCCGGTGCAGGTCTCTCCGCTCATCAAGGTGAACCAGGCTCCGCGGCCCCGGTTCTTGACTCTGCGTGGGCCTCGGCGTGTCCGGCCCCGCGCAGCCCCGCGTTCCGGACCTGCACCCCGCGCTTCTGCCCCTCGCGTCCCCCCGGATCCCCAGGCGCCCCGAACCCGACGGGCTGCCGCCACGCCCCTCCTACGCGCCCCCAGTCTCCAGTCCCGCGCCTTCGCACCCCCACACCCTCGCTCCCGCACCCCTATCCCGCGGGCCCGCACCCCGCGCCCTCGCTGACCTCCCTTTCCCCGCAGCTCGGCCGCTACTCAGCCCTGTTCCTCGGCGTGGCCTACGGAGCCAAGCGCTACAGTGAGTGACGGGGGCTGGGGGGCCCGGGAGGACCGGGCCGCGGTTACCCACGTCAGGGGACGCGCTGGGGGCCTGTCAAAGCAGAGGGTGTTCAGCTTTCGCTGTGAGGGCTCCTGGTGCCGTTAATAAACCCCAGGGAAGTGAGCGAACAACGAGCAAGGACGGGGTCTCTCCTCCCCCGCCCCACAGCCCTCTAAGCCATGGAGCTGGGGGCTGGGGCAGCGCGTGAGGGGACAGGACACACATCCTCCGCCGGACGCCTGCAGCAAGGTGCCCTAGCGGATGTCACCAACCCGGAAACATGGGAATGTAAGGTCGGCTTGAGTTTAGCTCAGGCCATCTGGCCCCCAAGTGCAGGTGCTTGATACCCGGCGGTTTCGCCCGGGAACTGGGAAATGGTTGGTTCTTGTTGAAGCCCGTGGTGCCGAGTGGGTGGGTGCTGGAGAAGTGCTGGGGTTCCAGAGCGTGTGTGGCAGGGGCCGGGGGCAGGGGGAGGGCAGCGGGGACTGTGTGCAGCTGCCATCAGAATTGGGTTTTCGGTTTAGGGATGAAGGTCAGGCCTTGACCTGCTAATGGAGAGTGCCCAGGTGTCCGGTGCGTGTCCGTGTGGGGGCTCAGTTCCTTCTTCCGGGAAGAAGCTAACTGGAAGTGTCTCCTCCCTCCGCCCCCAAACAAAACAGATTACCTAAAACCTCGGGCAGAAGAGGAAAGGAGGATAGCAGCTGAGGAGAAGCAGCAGCAGGATGAACTGAAACGGATTGCCAGAGAACTGGCAGAAGGTACTCACCTCCCAGATCTTACTGAGAGGTTTCCCCCTCCCAGACTGTCAGAGAGGGCAGTCAGCTGCAGCCCCCAGTGACCCCCTGGGTGGGGGCAAGGGCCTGGCCCTCCTCTTCCTGTTCTGACTGACCTGTGAGGAGAGGGCCCACCCTCCTTATGGGGGGGTAGGAGGTGGGGAGCAGAGTCACCTGGAGTGTTTGTGGGGGGGAGGAATGGTGAGGATTTGGCTTTGGAGAGGCTCTGCATCCGTAGGCCTTGGGGATCAAACACATAGAGGCGTAAACTGGCTGTACCACCCTGTGAGAGAGGCCTCGGGATGAGGGGCTTCTCCCCCGATTGAAATCGGAATGTCCAGGGATAAGGAGGACCAAGGGCAACAATTTAAATAGTGCATAGCTGAGATCATTACAGTCAGATAGCAGATCGTTTAAAGACTGAAAACCTGAGTGATTCTTTGAGTACAGTAATGCGTATGTCTTTTCCTTTTACCGTTTTAGCCCAAGAGGACACCATATTAAAATGAGACTTGCACGAGCTGACTTTTCTCCCCAAGCGGTAGTGGATAATAAAGCTGTCTGTGTTATGTTGTCCTTTCTGGCTCTCATTTCAAGTATGTCACTCCTCCCAGCTTTGGGAAGGGGGTTTTATAACTGATCAGTGCCACCATCACAGTCCCAAAATGCAACTCAAACACTGCGGGAACAGAAACTTCCATCACCCCGTTTGCTCTGAGGCATCCAGGTGGGGCGCCCCAATGGCTGCCGTTATCACTGAGACACAGCAGGTCCTGTACCACTTGGGTGCTGTTTCTTTATTTTGAGCTCTAGCCAGCTTCTGTCGTCCGGTGAGACCCTCTGGTGGGCAGGAGGGCCTGAGCAAATGTGTGTGTCTCGGGGAAGGGGCCTGGAATTTGGTCCCAGGATTGGGCATTGGAGACTGGGTGGGGCTTGAGGCCTTTACAGATGGGAAGCTGCACTTGGATCCTCTTTTTGACCCCAGGAGGTGACCAGGTTGGATGTGAGTCAGAAGCCTGGAGAGAGTTCGTGGCCTCTGGGGAGCTGCGGGCCCTATCATGAACCACTGTCCCACAAGTGGGCTCAGGGAGGCTGGACCTGCTATGCCTGAGCAAACACCGCTCCCAGTTGGGCTTCCTGGGCTTGTGTGTGTAGCCACTGGTGGAGGATTAATCCCTGCTGGTTTTAACAGCTAAAGAACCCACCTGCCCTGGTGGTTTGGATGAGTTGATGCTGCTACTTTGTAGTCACGTGCCTTGAGCGCATCTCCTAGTCTTTGGTTCCTGGCTGCATTGTAAAATCAGTTCATCTGCAAACTAGAAGCAGTGTGCCAGCATATGAAGCCCTGTTTGGTAAGGTGAGGTGAACAAGATGGTGGGATCACCTCAGCTTCCCAGCTGCTGACCGCCATCATGTCTCTGTCTGGGCTCGGTCCATCCCGAGGCTAGTCAGGTGGTGCCGCTCCTCCATTCGGGGACTCTGCTACAGCCTCAGTGGACTTGTGACTGCTCCGTGGTGGGTCACCGAGCCCCACAGGAGTGACTGCTGGCTGTCTCAGATGGCATCCTGTTACCCCGGATCCGCACCACGACTCCCTCCGCTCATTCTCCTCAGGCTGTGTCCCATTACCCCGGCTCTGTGCCACGACTCCTGCCCCTCACTCCTCAGAGGACGCCCTGAGCGACTGCTGGCTGTCTCCTCAGGCTGTGTCCCGTTAGCCCGGATCTGCACCATGACTCCCGCCCCTCACTCTGCTCAGATGGCATCTCAGAGGACGCCCTGAGCACCCCTCCTGGAATTCCCTGAACTATCTCCCCTGCTTCCTGCTTCCCTGGGGCATGCGTCACCACCTTACCTGTTAGACGCTTACCTGTTACGGACTCACCCCTGGTGACTGTAAGCTGTAGGAGAGCGTGTTTGATTTAGCTGCTATACTCCCAAACCCTGAGCCACGTGGCTCATCCAGGCCTCCTTGATGGGTCCCCTAGGCCCCCAGAGCTCAGTCCAGAGTGGGTGGCTGGTGCCTGGGCCCCTCCAGAAACCTGGAGGTGCTTCTGGCCCCAGTCACAGGCCTTTGCCATGAGGAGTCACAACCTGTCAGATGAAAATGAAACCTTGCTCCTTCTGAGTGTCCACTGTGAGTGGGTGGCTGTGGGGGGAAGCTCCCTCTTGGTGGGAGCCCAGGGAGAGGGCCCATGGCGCCCACCTCCTCGTGAGTAGTCACTGAGTGGCCTTAAAACAGCTGGCCCAAGGGTGGTGCTGAGAAGAGGGGCAGCTGGGATGAAGTCCCTGGGTAGTGCCAACTGTTAAGCACTTGGCTTCTAGGCAAAGGGCTGGGGTTTTGAACCCACCCAGAGGCGCCTCGGAAGAAAGCCCTGGTGATCTACTTCTGGAAGATCATGGCCATTGAAAACCCTTTGGAGCACACTTCTCCTCTGACACACAGGGTCGTCGTGAGTCAGAATCAACCCAATGACAACTGGTTTGGTTTTTGGTTTCAGTTTTGAGGCGGATGCTTTGGAGCTCACATCGTGAGTTAAGAATCCTCTAGTTTCTACCAGATAATTAAGACCCATTTCCAAGTGATTGCAGTGATGTTCCACTCTGACCCATCTTCTTTCTCCTAGGAAGCTTATGATTGCAGCTGTAAAGAAAAATTCAACCATAAAAGAATTTGGGACAGATTACAAGGTGTTACCATTAAGGGCTTCCCTGCCAGTAAGGTTTCAGAGCTCTGTGGTTAGCTGCTGAGTTGGCTCCAACTCATGATGACCCCACGCACGACAGAAGGAAACGCTGCCCGGTCCCGCGCCATCCCCACGATTGGTTGAAGATTGGACTGTTGTGATCCATAGGGTTTCTACTGGCTGATTTTCTGAAGTAGATTGCCAGACCTTTCTTTCTAGTCCTTTTTAGTCTGAATCACTGAAACCTGTTCAGCATCATAGCAACTCACAAGCCTCCACTGACAGACGGGTGGTGGCTGCGCTTGAGGTACGCTGGCTGGGAATCGAACCCAGGTCTCCCACATGGAAGGCAAGAATTCCACCCTTGAAACAATCACCTCTGCCCTCTTTCAGAGCTTTACACAGTGTACCTATCGCAGACTTTCTGCACAGCGTCATTCCAGGCTGAATCTCTGCTCTAACTGTGACTTTGACCTTCGGGTAGAGTTTTCAGATGGGTCAAATACAAAGTGTCTTCATAATTTCCACCACATAAAAAATGGACAAGTTGTTGTCTTTTTATTTTATTCTAAATTTCTGGGCATATGCTTTTCCTAAGCTGGTATCTCTCTGTCCATCTACCTACCTATATACATATATGTACATGTGCCAGTGTGAATATTCTCACCCAGAGAGCTTACAGTTCCCAAACCCTTTTCACAGATCTGGTCATGGTACTACGTATCCAAAACATGGTTGAGTGTAATGTAGGCTACGTTGTTTAATTTGTGGTTGGCTTTACTTTATGAAAGAGCCCTGGTAGCACAGTGGTTAACTGCTCAGCTGCCAACCAAAAGTTCAGTGGTTCGAACCCACTAGCCACTCCACAGGAGAACGATGTGGCAGTCAGTTGCCGTAAAGATTTACAGCCTTGGAAACCCTATGGTGCAGTTCTACTCGGTCCTATAGGGTTGCTGTAAGTCAGAATCGACTTGATGGCAACAGGTTATTTTTGGTTGGTTTATAAAAACCTAAACCTTAAAAAATTTCAAGATGATCTTCGGTCCTTTTCTTGGGTTTCCTAACCTCCTGTTCTGGATGGTTAGAGGCAGAGCCTGAGTCTCAGCCCAGCTTGCGGGATGAGGGAGCACCTGGACCCCCCGCAGGACAGGCGCTCACAGGATGCAGCAGGTGGAAGACTTTGGTGCTGGGCCGCCGTTGCAAACCTCTGTGCCCGCTGCAAGAGAAGGACAGGACAGTGAGGGACAAGGGTGCCGTGTGCACGCAGCCTGGGCCCGTCCCCTCTGCTCAGTGCGTCCTCCACCAGGGCCGCAGGAGAAAGGGCAGAGCGAGGCCCTCCGGCAGCCTAAAGCAGATTAGTCGCACTGAGCCTTTCTTATCTTGGTGCCTTAGCGCTTGTTGACATGGTGCCCTGATTACCGCCAGTCCTGGCCTCCACGACCCTGGAGTCGCCTTCAATTATATTGATCTCCCTGCCCAATAGCATGGAAGAGCAGGGAACAATAATAAAAAAAAATTCAAAGCTAAGGTAGCCGAGTACAGGCAAATCTCAAGACAACAATGCCTTAGAATTCTAATTTTCTTTTTTGGCTGGGAAGGGGAGGTATTTGACATGTTACGAGGAAGTCATATTCCCATAATATAGGATAAAAAGCTAAATAAATACCCTGAACACAGTAGTGGAAAAGAGGTGGTACATACTTGATCCTTTTTTCTTCCCTGCCTCCCTTTCTCTCTCTCTTTCTGCCTTTGTCTCTCTCTTTCTCTCCTTCCCTCCCTCCCCGCCTGCCTGCCTTCTTTCCTCCCTTTCTTTCTTCCTTTGGTTTCTCAGGCTGGCTGTTTTGTTTCTGAGTCCAGAAAAGAAAAAAAACCCAAACTCATTACCATCAAGTCGATTCCAACTCATAGCAACCCTACAGGACAGAGTAGAACAGCCCCCTAGGGTTTCAAGGAGCAGCTGGTGGATTCCAACTGCCAACCCTTTAGTTAGCAGCCGGAGCTCTTAACCACTGCACCACCAGGTCTCCTGATGTTTCTGAGGGTAGCAGGGAATATGGGCAGATTTTCTGATTTACTTAGAGATGTGCTCCTTGGTGGTGGAACAAAAGAACTGTTAAGAGCAGAGTGATCTTCAGCTGGACTTTCCCTCCCCTCCGTAAAGGAGGTAACATAACACTCAGCTACTTCCTTAGAGCAGTGAAAGTTCCTTGGCTAGGACGCAGAGGAAATACTCTTAGTCCAGGCTTGTTAATTACATTTACTCCGCAGAGCTGTTTGCCTGGAATGGAAAGTTCAAGGTGGGTGTCTCTGCAATGCAGTAGCCCAGCCAGAGTCAACCACAGACCTGTTTGCATTCCTCTCTGCCTCATCTCCAAATTGAACTTCCCCCAATTCTCTGTCTTTTCTACTAACGTATCCATGCACTTTAACTTAGGGAACCAGCCAAGTCCCACGGCCAGCAGGATGGCAGCTCAGAGCAAAGCCCTCACCTTTCTTGACGGCCACTCTCTCCTTCTCTTTCTTCTCCTCTTCTAAGGCCTTCACCTTGGCCTCGTACTCGTCGGCCAGGGCCTTCCACTCTTTCCTGTTGTTCTGCAGCCTGTCGAACATGGGCAGGATCTCCTCGTGGAAGCGGGAAAACTCCTGGAAGGGAAATGGAAGTCAGGACCCCCTCCCAATGGCCAGAGCTCCCGGGAGGGCCGCAGTAAGTCATCTCCAGCACTCAGACTGCATGGCCGGCTGCCGTCCCCTGCCCTCACTGTGCCCACAAGAGATCCAAGGAGGGGACCAGTCCGGTGGAGGGGGGAGAACCACTGAGAGGCCACTTCCCTAGCAAAACCCTACAAGGAGAACGGTGGGTCTGTGTCCCGTGACAGCTAGAAAGGGGCATTGCAGGTGTAAATTCTTAGGATACAGACAGTCTTAGGGGGAGAGGAACCCAAGAATAGAGTAAAAGGTGTTGGCTGCAGGAAGGAAGGGGGTGCAGGATTGAGGAACACCCCAGGTGGA